GACAGCCAAAGAGCTGAGTGCAACAAGAGGAGGTCCTGACCCATGGAAACATTTTCCATGAGGTCTGCGGCCAAAAAAAGCTCCTGTGTCATCCTTCACAAGGGGCTGTGTGGGTCACCTGCTTCTGAAGGGAACTCTCCTGTGCCCCAAGTCTAATCCCCCTGGAACAGCATGATCTTGATCAGCTTCCATCCTCTTGCTGGCCTTAGTTTCCTCAACTATACTGAAAAGTGATGGGCGTGGCAATCAGAGCAGGACTTTTAGGGACTGGGGTAGCTTGCTCAACTCTGAGAGGCTCTGGCTGTGGGGAGTGGGGGCCTCTCACATCCCGGAAGGAAGAGTTGGCATCTAATGCTTCTGCCTCCAGGTGTCAAGAAGAAGATGCTGCCATCTACCAGGCCTCTGCCCGGAACACCAAGGGCATCGTGTCCTGCTCGGGGGTTCTGGAGGTGGGCACCATGACCGAGTACAAGATCCACCAGCGCTGGTTCGCCAAGCTGAAGTGCAAGGCCGAGGCAAAGATGCGTGAGATTGAGCAGAGCTGGAAGCGCGGGAAGGAGGTGGCGGGAGAGGCCGATACTCTGCGCAAGCTCAGCCCCGACCGCTTCCAGCGAAAGCGGCGGCTGAGTGGGGCTGAGATGCCAGTCCCCTCAGCCCCCACCAGGGAGGCTGAGGACAGGACCTCAGCAACTTGGCAGGAGCGGGAGACTGAGCCTGGTCAGCACCCAGGTTTAAGCCTGATCAACAGTTTTGCCCCCGGAGAGGTGACCACCAATGGAGATGCTGTCCCTGAGAATGGGGAGGACGGGGATCATGGCCTATTGACATACATTTGCGAGGCCATGGAGCTCGGGCCTCAGAGAGCCCCCCAAAAGGAGTTGGGGGCCAAGAAGAAAAAGAAAGTTGAGGAACCTAAGCCAGGCCTGCGGAAGCCAGAGTTAGAGAAGGCAGCTCGAGGTGACTGTTCTGAAAACTGCGTCCCTAGTTCAGACAAGCCTGACTCCTGTGGGACACAGGGGCCCGTGGACGCAGAGCAAATTCAGACCTGGTCCAGAGGCAGGGCTGCACGGGGGCCTGGGTCCTCAGGAGTAGAAAGCACCAGGAAGCCAGCCTCTGCCATGGGCTCTCCAGCCCAGGCCCAGAATGTCCCAGCCCCTGCCCCAGGCCCAGACCAGGAAGTATATTTCTCCCTGAAGGACATGTATCTAGAGAGCACCCAGGCAGTCAGGCCTCAGGGGGAACAAGGGTACCACACACAAAGTGGCAGGGAATCTAGAGAGATGCCCTCAGGGAAGGTGCCCAGCGAGGCAAAAAGTGAGAAGGGGCCTCCCGCCCCTGACCAGCCGATACCCTCAGCCCCTCAGCCAACTAGGCCTTTCAACAGGAAGAGATTTGCCCCTCCGAAGCCCAAAGGAGAGCCCACCACCAACAGCAAGCCTGATTCGTCCCTGAATCAAGCTCCAGAACCCGGAGCCCAGAGCTTAGGAAACGGTCCACCTCAGGCTTCTGCCCAGGTGCCTACACCTCCTGCCCGGCGGAGACACAGCACAAGGGACAGCCCCTTGCAGGGGCAAGCAGGCCGTAGGACTCCAGGAGAGGTAAGTGTGGGTGCTGGGTGCCTGGGGGTCGCTCTGGGAAGCTGACTTCATGGAAACTCTTGCTACAACAGCTCGGCAGCCAGTGAGCAGTGGGATATTTATAGAAGGGGTGGGGTAGGGATGGAGTGCCAGCCTGGAGCAGGGGACCTTGTCCCAGCCAGTCTCCAGATGCCAGGCATGTGGGCAACACAGCCTGACAGTGTGGGAGTTCACAGCCAAGGGGCCTTGTGCCCCAGAGGGAGGCGGAGGAAGATGATATTTTTTGTTGAGGAAAAAGTCAGTGGAGAGTTTTCTGTTGGCTTTTCCTTAGAGAACAGTTTCCTGGGGGAGACAGGAGCAGGAGAGTGCTGTAGTATGCAGTGGGGTCTCGACCTGGATGCTCATTATAAGATTTAAAAAAGATCAGATTTCCAGGAAATTCTGGTTTAATGTGGGTTTTTATCTAAGATTTTGGAGTCAGGTGTACCTGTGTACAAATCTGACTGTCCTTAACATTGTGTGATCTTGGGCAAGTTGTAACATCATCATCATCATAAGACATACTTCATAGGGCTGTTGCAAGAATTAGAGTGCTTAGCACAGGGCTTGGTACATATTAAGAACTAAGTAAATGGCAGGAGATATAAGGTAGTACTCTGGTGGAAGACAGGTAGACTGTTTTACCTGGGAACAGGAGTGTCGTCGTTTTCTGGGGATCAGGTAGCCAACAGAGAAAAGGTGATGTGGTTTTTTTGTGTTGTTTTTTTTTAAAGGTGATGTTTTGTGTGGAGACGGGCAGATGAATGACAACATTAAGGCACTTGATGGGGGTGGGACAACATTAAGGAGTTTGATGGGGGTGGGGAAAGAGAGTGGGAGGGCTGGGATTGAGAGGATGGACAGAAGGGAGTTTGTCCTGTGTGATCACTGCTTCATGTTTCAGGGGGCAGAGGGCAGGCAGTATTTCACAGGAGTTTAGGGAGGCAGTGTTTTATAGTGGGGCAGAAAGAAGGCAGTATTTCTTATGAGTGGCAGAAAAAAAAAGTGTTTCGAGAGTAGCGATAGTGTGGATGAGAGAGATGGGATATACATACTGAGAAATTATTGGTTGTTTATCTGAAATACAAATTTAACCTGGTATCTTGTATTTCGTTTTGCTAAATCTGGCAACCTTAAGTGGAAACAGCATTTTGGCGGGAACTAAGATGAGACTGTTTCTTGGGATGGAGGGAGCAGAGCCTGGGCCCCAGGAAACAGGAGGAGCATTTGGAAGCAGTGCTTACAGGGGTCGGGCAGAGGACAGATGGCTTCTTGGAACTGGGAGGGAATCACGTGCGTGCGGTACAAGCTGCTACAGCACCTCAGGGAGGGCAAGGGGAAAGGGGTGCTTCATGGAGAGCAGAGAGGGGCTGCCTTCCCCATGGAGAGAACTTTTATGGGGGAAGGAGGGAGAGATCAGTTTCAAGGGTGAACAGGGGAAATGGTTTTCTTTCAGTGGATGCTGAAGTTGGTCTGTGTGGACAGTTGTTCAGAGGGCGCTGGAGTACAGTGAATCTCAAACCAGTCTGTTTAGAATCTGTTTATAACCCTCATGCTTGGTCTCAGGAGATTTTAGCAGCTGGTTTGGTGAGTTCTAATGGCCCAGATGGGGCTGCCTCATGTACTTGACAGCCCACAGGCTGGACAGCAGGGCTTTCCTGTAGGGATGGCCTTCATAGGGCCCTGGGGATTTCATCTGGGAAGTGACCAGGCTGGCAGCCAGGTCTGGGAGTGAATCTGGCTCCTCCACCCACAGGGGTGGGGAGCATCATAGCCAGGATCCTGGCAGGGTCCTCCTTGCCTCTCAAAGGTGAGAGGAGAGGGCTCAGGCCATGTGGGCAACGGGAGAGGCTGGCTGCAGTGGTTCCGCTGTTCCTGCAAAAAGTGTGTGTGGCTTTTAGTTTTTTATACTTAAAAAAATGTGAAAAATGCATTTAACATCTGTGTAAATTTTGAAGCTGTTGCTTTTTAGTGGCTGAAGTTGACTGGTTTTTCATATTTTTACAGTACCAAATCTTTTTAAAAAACACATTATATGTTGGATTATGAAAGAAACACATGGTAATAGTAGAAAATATGGGGCGAAGCCCTAAAAATTCACCTATAATTCTACCATACAGAGACGTCTTGGTATATCTACAAGTCTTCTTGCATATGTAGTTTATTAGTTTTTAAATTTAATTTGTGCTGTTATTCTGGGGCATGGCACTCTACTTCTCATTATTTCATGAGCATTTTCTCATGGTTCCTAAAAATTAGTTGAAAAACTCATTTTTAATGGTTGTATATGATGCCACAGTATGTATATTTAACCATTTCCTCCATAGTGTTTATGCTTTCCTTCCCTATGTGAAGGTTAGTTAAATATTAATCTTTATTAAGAAAAATTTTGTTGCTTGAGTTACTTCATTTGATTTTTAAATTAATCTGGCATTGATTTGCGTGTATAGAAAAGCATCAGTCTCTAGATCAATTTTTGGTTAAGTGGGTAATTTCCCCAATTATCATTTGTTAATATTCAACTCTTACCTATTAGTTTGTGATTCTTTATATAATAATTTTTATAAACATTAAAGCCTATATATACACATCTGTCATAATCCATTCTGTTTGTTGGTTCTTACAACAGAATGATCTTGTTTTAATTATTATAGTTTCAATTTCTGGCAGAGCAACCCTCTTATACTTGTTTAAAAATTTTTTCTTAGCTCTTCTCTCTTGTTTATTCCTGTAGAAAAACTTTAGAATCATTGTTTGAAATTGTCCAAACTCCCATATATCATTTTTTGTTTTGTTTTTATCTTGTATCTTTATATTCACCATTATAAAAAAAACCCCACATTAAAAAAAAGTGATGAATTGCTCTAAGAAAGTAAGCCTATAAAAAGGAAAAAAAAGTGATGAATTTTTTAAAATATATTTTATTGATATTTTACAGAGAGGAAGGGAGAGAGATAGAGAGTTAGAAACATCGATCAGCTGCCTCCTGCACATCTCCTACTGGGGATGTGCCCGCAACCCAGGTACATGCCCTTGACCGGAATCGAACCTGGGACCCTTCAGTCCGCAGGCTGACGCTCTATCCACTGAGCCAAACCGGTTTCGGCAAAAAAGTGATGAATTTTTAACAAGGTCAAAAGCCTATTAAATACTTCCCTGGAAAACAAAAGTCAGATTTGCATTTTGGATGGTCTCTTAGTAAAACTTGCTAAATAATATATTTTTAAACAGCTTTATTGAGGTATAATTTATATACCATAACATTTACCTCTTCAAAGTATATAATTCAGTGTATACAATTCAGAGTTGTGCAGCCATTGCCACAATCCAGTTTTAGAACATTTCCATCATTATAAAAAGATCCCTATTCTTTTTTGCTGTTAATCCTTGTTCCCACTCCCAGACCCAGGCACCAATTTATCTGCTTTCTGTCTTTATACCATGGGCATTTTGATTGGGATTGCGTTAAATATAAGAATTAATTTGGAAAAAATCTATATATTAATATTTATCTTTCTCATTTGGGAGCATGGTAGTTATTTCAATTATTCAAACCTTCTTATATTTTTTTAAGTTCTGTTGTCTGCTTCATATGGGTCCAGCATGTCTCTTGCTAGGGTTAAGTACTTTAAGGGTCTCTACTTCTGGAATATGATGCCACTGCTCCTCCCTCCTGCAGTCTGTCTTGATTTCCTTTCCTGAAAATAAGGGTTATCTCTGGCAACTCAAGTTAGGCTTTCATCTTGGATATGGATGAGGAGCAGATGCCAGAACAGAGGCCTCTTGAGTTGTTAGGACTGTCCAGAGACCCTCCCTCCAGCCCAGCCATGCTGTTCAGACAGCTCTCTCCCTGGGCAGAAGCAACCTTGCCTACAGGTATTTGGTGAATGGGAACTGGCCATTAGTGTTCTCAAAGGCTGCTTTTTAGTGCTCTTGCATGATACCTTCTCTGAGACTGCCTCAGTTCTCTGGAGCTGAGCTACAGCAGTGTGGGGACACCTTACCTCAGAGGGACAGTATAGCTCTGCTGAAAGCCTTGAGACCTGAGTGTTTCTTCTTTAAAAAAAATTATTCTCAATTACAGTTGACATTCAATATTATTTTATCCTAGTTTCAGGTATACAGCATAATGGTTAGACAATTATATAATTTATGAAGTGATTCCCCCCAATAATTCAAGTACTCACTCACCTAGCACCATATCCACCTGGCATCATACCAGTGTCTCTTTTTTTATTTTAATTTTTAAAAATTTATTGATTTTTAGAGAGAGAGAAACACTGATTGATTTATTATTCCACTTATTTATTCATTCATTGGTTGATTCTTGTATGTGCCCAGACCAGGCATTGAATCCACAACCTTGGCATATCAGGACAATGCTCTAAACAACTGAGCTACCAGCCAGAGCTAGAGTGTCTCCTTTTAAAAGTATATATATACTTTTTATTGATTTCAGAGAGGAAGGGAGAGAGAGAAAGAGATAGAAGCATTAATGATGAGAGAGAATCATCAATTGGCTGCCTCCTGCACGTCTCTACTGGGGATGGAGCCTGCAACTCAGACTGTGACTTCCTGGTTCATAGGTCAACACTCCATCACTGAGCCCCATCAGCCAGGTGAGAGTGTCTCTTGAAAAACCCTGTAAGTTCCGAGGATAATGATCCAAAAATGTGGACACTCCCCTCCCATAATAAGGGCTCTTTAGTTTTAGAGAATACGTGGATATAAGTATTTTATGAGAGCATTGAAGGGAGTGGAGGTTGGGGAGAGACATGATTCTTGCCTTAAGGGATTATTCAACCAATCAAGGGGACTAGACTTATACCAGATCATAGTGCAGAGGATATGGACAAAATGCATTGTTTAATTATTTGATAACTTGGATAAGCAAATGGCAACACACAGGTTGGAGAAGAAGACCAGAATTCAAAGTACTACTTAACTAGCAATGTACGCTGTTTTTATTTTTATTTTTTAAA